AAAAAAAAAAAAAAAAAGAAATGAAATATCAAACAGCACTGCGCTCACTTCCTTTTTTTTAAAAGTTTTGAGAACGTCTTCCACAAAGCCAGTTTATTCCGGTGAAGCAAAGTACTTCCGTTTTAGATAAACCCGCATTCCCCAACTTTATAACCGTCTTCTAGCTCGCTAAAAAAATGTGCTAACATGCTCTGTTCGCGACTATTGAATTTCATTTGATTTGACTTCTTTCTGCCTCGAGAGGATTTTTCCTACATTTTATTTAAATGAACATCAAAACAGGTCATTTCACTTTTTGGATAAAGTGCTTGTTGCCTGCTCATTTAGATGCTGTGCTAAACACACTTCTCTTCGTTTCCGTATTTGATGATTATTAATTTTGCTACTACTCGTTATTTGTGAACTTGTCAGTGTGCGTAAAAAAAACTAATTCTTCAATTTCACTGTCATAATAAAACAAGCCGAGATATCAGCGCGGTGCTCCCGATGCTACTAAAGCGAAATTACACATCAAGCACAACCATGAAAAGTTCCCCTTATTCTGAAATGAGTGCCTTCAGTCAAAGTCCTCTATTCTCAACATGCAAGCACAGGAGTTTTCTAAAATCGTTCACTTCCCGCCTTTGTTATAAGTGTAACTCACTTACCACCCGTTCCTTGTGAAAATGTGCTTGTTTCTTCTGCAACACTATCGCGAAAAATCATGTGGAAGAATGTGTACACCAAATCGCACTAAAAATGACGACTATCGATTAAACAAGTACAAGCAAAAGACGACTGTAATCGCACTCCCGACTAATGCTGGTCGCCATTTTGTGAGAGCAAATTCTAAAAAAACTGGTCAAAATTATCAAGGAGGCTGCCTTTAAAACTGTGCCTCATTGCTCTGAATCTTCCACGACGTGCTCCACATATAGCCTCACTACCCGCCGTAATTCAAGATTTTGTAAGCTACTAAACTGAATCATACCGATACACTATCTCCAACACAACTTGAATTTTAGGACTTCTCCGAACACTGCGACTGGCACCTTGTGTACTCAATTTTTTTAATTTGCAACGCTTATTTGCATCGCAAAATTTCATTCCTCAACCAACGCCTAGATTGCTTTCGGCAGGATAACAGAAGAGGAAAGAAAAAAGGAAATGGAAATGATAAAACTATGTGACGCAGATCACCACATACCACTTCTCACTGTTCACATATTTCATAAACAAAATACTGATTAACCATAGATTATACATGTTTCTGAGCACATCACGGATCCACGAATTTATGCAAGTTGTTTACTTCGGGGTAAAGTATACATTCCTACTTTCTCAACACGTCCTTGACCGTCTCTTCTACATTCAGCAGCTTTTTCTACAAGCAGATTTCCCTGTATGTGGTCATCTCTTTTCACACAGCGATTTCCACTGAACGCAATCGCTGTTGGCCATTACTGTGAAAAAATAGAATGTGCTTATACGCAAACCAGTCAAGAAACTTACGTGGGCTACCTCAGGCTGATACTCAAGAAGTGTACTGAGGAATCGCTGCAGGTCTGCCTGTCGCCGTTCGGCTACCTTACGAATGTTCGAACGAAAAACACCAGTGCCTTGTGAGAGCAAAGGTAGACGTGTGAACGGAAATCTGAAAGAATAAGCCGGATGACTAAATCAAACAGTGGCACAATGTGCAGCAAAACTAGATTACCCCTAATTGTTCTTTATGCAACAAAACATAAAATCGCTATTTTATATGCTCCTAGCAAGGGCAGGAGTCAACGCTTCATAATTCTTGCGGTAAATGAAGCATTTGGCTAAAAGTTCCTTTGATAAAATAAGTATTCAACGTGTAACTGGCAGAAGCAAAATACACTTTAAATCACCTTCGGCATAACTTTATATAAAGTTCGTTGAATTCCAAAAACGATCTGTAAACAATTCCGCAAACAGTTTCATTCTCACGCTGAACTTCAATTTTATACATCTGAAACAAATAAATTTGCAAATTTGCATCTTACCAGTATTATATCTGCCTAATCAATGAAGAAACCCTGAAAAGAAGCGATCGGCTTCGTCCCATGTTTCTCAGAAACACAGAGAGTTATACTGTAGCGCAGCACAAGCGAAGGCATATCATCAAAACTACCAACGGTGCCCAGAATGCCAGTAGGAGAATTCAATACTCAGAAGAAATGACACATACACATACACACACAACACATACACACACACACATACACACACACATACACGCACACTAAGCATAACCGTGCCAGGTCCTCATATTCTGGATTGTAAATTTTCAATTATTAATTAATAGCTTTGCTACCATTTAAACCTTTACGGGGGAGCCCCAGATGGCCGTTATTTGTCAAACTGACTGGTACACGACGTCCAATGATTGCCCGCGAAATAAGCAATGTGTCCGACTCTAGGAAATTTACTTTCCCCAATGCGTGCAGCATCGTGCAAGCCGTTCATGAGATACAACGCTGGACTATCCAAATAGTTATGAAAACCAGCAGATGCAGATACGTAAGTAGTCTTCGGTGCAATGTCATTTCGAATTCATGAAATGAAGGTTTTCGAAAAGGAACTCACGTATACTTTTTCAGGCACGTGCCACTTCTCAAATGCCAACACGTCTGCTCTTAAAATTCGGCCATCTTCCTTCATCCTGAAGAAACAAGTTATAGGGAACGATTTTTGGGATAACAGCAGAGAACAGAAGTGCCGAATAGGAGTAGAGATTCAGTAACAGTAGAGAGGAACAGTGGAAAAACCCTGCAAAATCATCACACAGTTTAAGGGGAATTATCCTTAGTATGAACAATTATCGTATTTTGGACTAGTGGCTTCTCCGGTGTTCTGTTTAGCATTAACAAAAAAAAAAAAGTGTGCTCTCGAAGAAACTAGTAATATACACAGCTTCCAGTAAAGTCAAAAGGCGAATGGCAAATGAAAACATGAAATCTCACGAGGTTTCAGAAGCGCACCACTGTTTAAGTTTGTTCCAGCACTCCGTTCAAAAACGATATTTCAAAGAAAGATTTAGCAGCTCGACGCCAGGCTTGATAGTGTTTTCGTATCCGATTTTTATGAGTTTTTGCATGTATGCAGATGCAAAAACACAAACTTTGACGACCCACGACGTGTGTGTGTGTGCATGCCTGTGTGCGTGTATATATGTGTGTATGCGTCTGTCCGGGTACTTCAACTGGGCAACCAAGCAAGCTTCGACGCTGAAATCTCTAAAGTGGGTTTCCGAGCCAATTGCTACACCAGAACCGTGGCACAAACCTTCACGCACGTCTGAGCCCCACTCATGAGCCTGTGGAAGTTCTAGAGGAAAAATTGCTAACTCGGGATCCAGAAAAGCTGGGAGGCTGAAAATTTCAAAGGGATGTTCCCGTCCACGTACATGTTAAAGATTCCAAATTCAGCTTCCAAGTGTGCGCAGCTCTAACGTACGGGCATTTAAATGTTCTGGCAAGAAAATCGCTCACTGAACTGCTAGGTTATTCCCAAAGAACGACCGTTCGACGTGAATTATTCATTTTCCTCTACGCAAAACTTACGATGATTTACACTAGTGCGCGAACCATGTAAGTGTAAAGCAGCAATCACACAGTTAATGACCTGACTGCTTCAGGTTTGGTGCAAAAACGCATGATGAAACCGGCAAGCCTGGTGCGTTCCAGCCAAGGGTTCACTCTTTGTACTAATTCGACAATGTTGAAAAAATTTCTTATCCAACTTACGTATATGTTTTTGGAATGAACGATAATTTGTTCGGATCGTCGTATCCACTACGCAGAATTGAAGGGGTACTTTTTAACTGCACCAAAGTATGAGCCAAGAAGTTTAACCTAGAAATATTATCGACACAAATTCACAGTGAGAATGCATACTGTCAAGGAATAAATCGATTCGAAGTTTATTATTTTTATTAACATTTTAGTTTTATTTACTTATATTTAATTGCCAGAAAACGTCGTTTTCCCCTCTGCGCAACCTGCGTTTAGGATATAAAAAAGTACCGAGCAGCGTCATAATCTGTTAATTCTCTACTGAATAAGACTTCACTTTCGTTTTAATAATGTGAACACAAGTTATTTCTTTTCCGGCCATTTTGTTTTCAGTGTAGCCCGAATGGTCGTTTTTTCCGCGTGGGTACCACTCGTTAATGACCAGTGTTTAACGACTATCGGAAGGTGAACAAAATGCTCTGCCGACTGGACTTTATTCTCCGAAATGGTCGTAGTTCTTTTTCCTACTCTATATTTGATCGTAGCTCCAGCACTCTCTGGTAGATCTCAAAGATGCTAAATCTCATTTCAATTCTTCTTTTAAAAATCAGTGCGACGGAACGCAGTGTCTTTTTTGCTGACAGAAAAACTGATGAAAATAAGAGACCAGAAGCGAACCATTACTGGAAAAACCAATCCCTCACGATTCGCGAGAACATTAGAAAAATGATCTTAACCCTAATTATATATGTAAGAACTATAAAAACTACAGAAACCAGAGCAGAAAGCTGTTTAAATAGCCACGCTGTAATGTAAATTCATGTGTGTTGGATGAGAAAGCCGCTATAAATGAGTCCTCTCCCCCCAGTCTGCGAGAAGGGGAAAAACGTAATATGGGTTTGTTTTAAAAACCCTATTTTTATTACCCACCTCTAAAAATCCCTGTAAAGCGTTCTCTTGTATGTCTCCCTCTTTGAATCTGTAGACAACTAATCGATGAACAAACGCAGCTACAATTGAAACTACAACAGCAGAAGTTACGTGATCGAGCCGCAGTGTGGCTCCGAGTATCCCCGTAATCAGTATCCATTGTTTCTGGGCTTGGCGGACGTCCCGCCAGTAACAATATCGAATGATCACTAACAGGTGAGCTAACAAAAACAAAAGTGGGCAAAACCTGGTCTAGGACTTTTTCGAGCAACAAACAAAGCAGAACTACGAAGGTAACAGTCAGGAGCAGCACAATGCCACGTGACTGAACAAGCTTCATCATTACAAAAATGAGGGCAGAGTGTTTGTACTGGCGGAGCAGTGGCGACTGCCGATCAAAGCGCCGAATTAAGCATTATAATATCATGCACATAAGAAAAAAGTGAGTAACTCGCCGACTTCTATGAGTGAGTGATGAATGCCTCGAATGACTTTATGTAGATCCAACATTTTTTGGCTTTCTAATTACACGTTATAAAAAGCGAAAAACCAGCAGTTTCGCTAGACAGCGCTAACTAATTGCAAAAGCTGTACGTTCGAGCTGTTCCAATTACATTTACGAAGTATAATGCAGCATGATTTTCAAGATTTTGCTACAATATTAAGCTTTCTGGACATTCTTAAATAAGTGTTCATTGGAATGACCAAATTATTTTACCGAGGAAATCTGCTTTTCAAGCTTTCTTCAATCATACGCGTAAATTGCACAGTTGCCTGGGTGTCCGTTAAATTTAACAGCAAATTGCTCTGAACAAAATTGACGGCTTCCAAATCCATGCCAGGAATACCGGAACATGACATCTGCAATATGTTTCATAGCAACAGAAAGCACATTATTCATGAAATTCTCCCTACGAAAAAAAAAAATCCGTGGTGAAGACATAACACACGTCGACTCGGTAGCATATCCAGAGTACCACCCTCATTGTCCGGCAACACGAAATAGGCGGAAAAAGCGAAAAATTCTGCAAGGGAGCAGAAGCTAGCAAAAGAAGCGGAAAACGTCAGCCAAAACATCATTAAATTTTTTGTTTAAAGAAAGCACTTTCATGAATGTATCAACAGCATTGAGTTTTAGCACTAGAAAAACATCAAATTTGTTAAAAACGGGATGCAAACAACAGGAGAACGTAAATTTACAAAACAGTGCCAAAGATGCGACGCGCCTAGAGTAACGAAAACTACGTATTAATTAGAAAATCGAGTCTTTTACAGAGAAAAAATCTTTTTCACAAATCATAAGGACCAAGCAGACTACTTACACCCAGCATATGGCAGAAGAAAACGTGCCAGAATATGCTTTAAGTCGACGATTTCCAGCGAAGACCTCCCTTTCCCCTGCATGCCTACGTGTGTTATTTCCTCAAGAAACAGCCAAGTGGTCTCATCCTCCATTCCGAAAGTCAAAACCTGACTTCACGACTTACCATTTTCATAAGATTTACAAGCAACGAATATTTCTTTCGGAGAAGATTGAATGCCTTGCAACAATTATCCACGAAGCGCTGGTACTCTCCTGTTGATGACTGCAGTGAACCTTCATTAATAACATAAGCCATATCACTTGTGAATATAAATGGTGTGCGGTCCCTGCAAAATTAAGGATCATCATTGGCAAAACAGCTAACAGAAAGACTGTCCGGTGCAAACCCTGATAGGCTCAAACCGCAAACGAGTAAGTTAATTGAGTCAAGCCGGGCCAAAGTCAAGGATACCGCCCCATCTCATTTTCCATGACAGAAAAATGCGAGAAAAATTCAAACGGATGGAATTTACCAACAGAACAAACACACCGGTAAGGCTGACAACGATATTCTCTTCGAGGAGTTTCTAAAAGAATAAAAACTAAGCGCGGTTTTACTTCCCCACACTTGCGCATGTCAGTGCCAAGTTACTTTCGAAAATTGATTAATTCTTCCGCTAACTGACGGAAGCCAAAGTCTGCAGTTATATACTAACACGCTAAGCAAATTAAGTACATATTGGCCTAGTGGCAACCAGTAATAAAAAAGATGGAATTTTCTGTTTCGTAGCCCTTCCACCAAAACAGCGCGAACTCCAGAAAAAATAGAGCTTTCCTAAATTTGACTCTTTGTCCACACCCTTTTTCTGCTCAAACGGTGTTCGCTGAAGACGATAGCTTTACTTTGATAAGAAGAGGTTTAGGTGAAGCGAGAAACTGCAAAGCAATTAGAAAATGTAAACAAATTTAATCGAATAAGCAAAGAAATTAACTTCGAAGTGCTAAATACTTTATAAAGCGTACAAATAGCGCCAATGCTAGAGCGCTGAAAAAGCTAGGAAGAAGGCGTAAAATCGAGAACACAGAGCCAATATCAAGGCAGGCCCTTCTACTGCGTTCTTTTTCGGAAACTGAATATGTTACTGATTTTTAATGGACCAATGAGTAATCAGAAAAGTGAACCGTCGAAATCCAGCGGCCATTTGCCAGTCGCCCATATACTTGCCAAAGTCAATGTGGAATACATGACCTGTCGTTGTGATCAGTATGTTGTCATTATGACGATCGCCAATGCCCAACACGTACGTTGCCACGCACCAGCCGGCACAGGACAGATGAAAATTCTCGTAAGCCTATAAACAGTTTCACTGTGAAGAACATCCACTAAAAACGAGAACTTCATGTGCCCATCTCGAGATATTTGTTAATAATAAGCCTCTCAACAGCCAGCAAACCAGACAAGACAAGGCTGCAATTCACCAATGCTTTGTTACTGCAAGTCCAGCCTTAAAAAAACTGCTGCAACTGAGCCGCCGATAAATCAGAACTATTCCAAATGGATTTTTAACTAATAAGCGCCTGCAGGCATCATTTTAAATCAGACTTCACTCCGATGGCTGGTGCCAGAGCCCACCGTATCCACAAACAGTCCCACATAAAGCCTCGGAGGTAGTGAAAATAAGCTGGGTCAGGACCACTGTCTCAACATAGAACAGGGCGCTTCACATCGTAGAACCCACTACATTTTCAACGTTTTTAAAAGCACTTACAGAAGCTCGCACACTAGAACGTGTTGCGTCAATCTCGCATTTCTTTGCCGCGCGCAAAAGGTAAAAAGCCACAGCTCACAAATATAACACTCAAAAAACTTCAGAAAACTAATGATTACAATTTTATATAGAAACTCCGACGAATTATACTTCTCGAGCCATTTTTTGAGCACGTCATCCTTAAAAACACCAGCCGCACCAACAGAACTTTGTATTTCACATAATGTTTGACAGTCAGGAACCAACTCCACCATTCCTTCAAAAAGTAACATTTCGATGAAGCACAGATAACATTTTTGAGTTGCAAACATGAGACTAGACAAATGACCACTTCCACGCTTTTTCTCACCTTCACCTGCACTTTTCACTCCTTCATTCTCCAATTACTTTCTTTACAATGTTCGTCCCGGTACAATTCATCACACTATTGTGAAGAGATGCTTGGTGGTCTCCTAACTCGGGATTATTTCGTCCCATCACATCCACCATTCAAAACTACATTCGTAAGTGATACGCGAAGCTGTCGAGCAATCTTCAGTTTTACCTAAAGCATCCCTCGTAAAACCAACTCGACCGGAAAAAATAGCTTGCATTTTGCGAAAACCCCACCCATCTGCAAACGGCAAACTTTGACTGCCCGCATGCGTGACGTAGGTGAAATCTTTAGCTCACATATCTGTGCAATGAACACCTGTGCGAAATTTCAGCTTTCTGTTTTGCCTAGTTCCCGAAATCGCCTCCTGCTAAAAAATTTCCATGATTTCCTTTCAGTGCATACAGATGAACAACGATTTCAGATTGTAAGAACGAAACGTAGATGGGAAAACGCCCATAAAATAGCGGTCCTGCGGATTGAAAGCAAGTGACGAATTTCATACACATACACAACCTCTTGATAATATTGCTTTTGCAACTGCATAAAAATGCAAAAACTCAAAATATTTTGAAAAAAAAGTGAAATTTTAACGCCTGGAAGAAGCGTACCAGATTTATTTCCAAACGGCAAACAACGGAAGATGACCATTCTGAGATCGAGTTGTTCACTAAGCCAGATGTCATTCATCATTTTTACCAGTTGCAGGACCAACGCATCCTGGCGCATGTCATCTCCTTCCTGCAAATATGCGCCTGATGCTGTTTACAGTTCAAAAAAAAAAAGCCTCAGTCCCTATCCACGTGAAATGACAACATGCCTCCCATGCTATCCTGTTTCAACAGCTCTATTTTTTCGACTTTTCGATCACTATGCTCGTTGACTGTGTACCGTAAAAGTAATTTTTGGGTTCTAAACTAATAAAAAATTGCTCCCGTCAAAAATTATATTGCAGGATAAGCTACACGGGCGGAGAATTGAGAATAAAGGCAAAAAATATATTTAAAAGCTAACCGCATCATGCGGTGAACTAAAAACCCAAAATTTTGACTTTATAGCATTTCTTCCATGACTAAACAGCTACACTAAACATAAGCTGAGGTGGTAGCTGGAATACCGTGGGTTTTCGCAGCATGTTTTTAAATTATTCGTTTCGAATTATTCGATGGATTAAACCGTACTTTTACGAAACTCTCGAAAATTATTCCTCAGAAATTTTCAAACAAAATTTTCCGAATAACTTTTATTTGTATTCACTATTTATCCCAATCCTTTCAGCTTTTTTAGTTTAGCTGCAGCACTAGTTCATACTTGAACCTGAAGCTAATATGTCAGTGCACAGTGGGGTCAAAATTTGATTTCTAACTTGAAGACTTGTTACATAAGCAGTAACCCTATTCCTGATACTGTAGCTTCCTGGCTATGGTAACGATGGAGCAGGATTTTCCAAACTGCTAAATAAACGGCAAAATAAAGGCATGCGTCGTTAAAACGCTATTAGCACGTGCAAAAATTTATGCGAAACACCATACCTTATACATAACTGCAAGAGAGTTTTTCAAGCCCTTGAATGTTATTTTCATTGGTTTGGTCAGCGAATTGAAATAATACGATTCGGAAACAACTATGCCGGTGCATAAAAATGACGGCAGCACCGGCAAGCGTACGTTGTTTTCGAGAATCCGTGCATCGAGAAGTGCAAGATGGCGTTGAAGGATCAGCTGCAGCGAATAAACCTTATTTAGTGTCACAACCGCAGCCCATCACTACTTTAGGCTGAGGTGAATGAAAGAAGTCATCTGCCGAAGAGGGAAAGATAATTCAAGAGGAGCAAAATTCAGTAAACCCAGGCTGGAACGCACCAGGCAGGCCGGAGCGATTATGCGTTTTTGCACTTCTCGTGCCATAGCAAGATCGCAAGGAACCGCAGTAGCTAACCCTGTGACATACTAGTCCTCGATGTACTGGTGTAGACTTCAGTGACCCGGCAAATGGAAAGGTGCTGGTCCGCAAAAAAGGC